TTAAGGGAATGAAACCCAAGATAAGTATTCAAATGTTTTTTTTCTTTCATGCAATTGTTTCTATCATATTTATAAGATAATTTCTATGTTGCTTTGTATGTCCCTCCCCCACAGTATAACTTATACTTTCACTGTTTTTGATGTAGGTATAATTTGTGGAGGGGAAGGAAAAGAAAACGCATAGTTTAACTTGGGATAAACATGGACCAATTGCAACAATGAGATGTACAAGTCCTTATGTTGAAAAATGAACTTAACAACTTTGGTGGGGGGTGGGGGAAGGTATAGGTGGTGGGAGGGGCGGAGTATGGGAAGGGATGGGAAGGGGAAACAAAGAGGCAACAATGCTTGATAAGAAATGTACTCATTATCTTTCCCATGTAATTGTAACTTTTCTGTATGTTATTCTCACAATAAAAAAATTTAAAAAATGAATTTTTCTATATCTCTGAACAATCACATTTGTATTTGATTGATATTGCATTCAACCTGAATTTTTAGCAATATATTCATTTTCACAATATTATGTCTATGAATTCATGAGCCAGCATGAGACAGAGATCTTTCCATCTTCTGATGTCTTCTTGAGTTTCTTCAAGGTTTTATAACTTTTATTATAGAGGTATTTTATCTCCTTAGTTAAATCTATATCTAGGTTTTTTTTATTGTGAAAATACTGTACAGAGGGGTCACAATTACATGGGCAAGACAATGAGTACATTTCTTATCAAGCCTTGTAGCCTTCTCCTTTGTTTCCCCTTCCCATCCCTTCCTATCTTTCCCCCGCCCCCCACCCAATCCTCTCCGCTCCTTCCCCCCCCCCCCCCCCCCCCGCACCAAAGTTGTAAAATTCGTTTTCGACATAACAACTTGTTCAATGGGTCCACCTGTATCCCTATTTAAACTATTTGTTTTTCCCCTTCCCCTCCACAGATTATACCGGCATCAAATACAGTGAAACAGGGATTATATTGTGGGGGAGGGACATATAAAGCAACAAAAAATAATCTTATAAATATGTTAGAAACAATCGGATGAAAGAAAAAAGAAATATTTGAATACATATCTTAGGGTTCATTTCCCTAACATCACCTTATCTGACCTTTTCTGCTTGACTCAGACATATACTAGATATTGCAAATAAGGGAAACCATGGGACCTATGTTTCTTTGGGCCCGGCTTACTTCACTGAATATAATTTTTTCCAAGTCTTTCCATTTCCTAACAAATGGGGAAATGTCATTCTTTCTGATGGAGGCATAGAATTCCATTGTGTATATATAACACATTTTCTTGATCCATTCATCTACTGTGGGGCATCTGGGTTGGTTCCATATCTTAGCTATAGTAAATAGTGCTGCAATAAACATAGTCGTGCTGGTAGCTTTGGTGTGGTCTTGTTTGTGAACATTTGGGTAAATGCCCAAAAGTGGGATTCTGGGTCATAGTGGAGCCCTGTGTGGGGTCTTTTGAGGAACCTCCATACTGTTTTCCAAAGTGGTTGAACAAGTTTACACTCCCACCAACAATGCAGTAAGGTTCCCTTCTGTCCACATCCCCTCCAGCATCTGTTGTTATTAGAGTTCTTGATTATAGCCATTGTAACTGGGGTGAGGTGGTATCTCAATGTTGTTTTGATTTGCATTTCTTTTACGGCGAGGGAGGTTGAGCATTTCTTCATGTGTCTAGTGGCCATCCTCCTTTCCTCTTCAGAGAGGTTTTTCTCTTTAAGTCTTTAGCCCACTTATTTATTGGGCAGTTGTTTCTTTGAGGATTTGTTAATGAGTTATTTAATTTTTTGAGTTCCAAGTATATTTTAGATGTGAGATCCTTGTCTGTTGTATGGCTAGTGAAGATCTTCTCCCAATCCGTAGGCTTTCTATTTATCTTGCTAGCTATGTCCTTTGCCATGCAGAAACTCTGGAAGTTCATGCAATCCCATTTGTGCAACCTTTCTTTGATTTTTTATGTTTCTGGGTCTCTATTAAGAAAATTTCGGCCTGTGCCAAGGCGACCTAGGGTTTCTCCTATTCCATCCTGTAATGTTTTCAGGTTGTCTGCTTTGACTCCGAAGTCTTTGATCCATTTGGAGTTGATTCTGTTGCAGGTGATATATATGAGGATCTAGCTTTAGTTTTCTACAAGTAGTTAACCAATTTTGCCAGCACCATTTACTGAAGAGGCTGTCTTTCTTCCATTCTATTTTTTTAGCTCCCTTATCGAGGTTTAGATGGCTTTAGGTCTTTAGGTTCATTTCTGGGTTTTCAATTCTATTCCATTGATCCTGAGGTCTGTTCTTGTGTCAGTACCAAGCTGTTTTGATTACTATGGCTTTATAGTAGAATTTGAAATTTGGTATTATATCTAGGTTTGTTTTTAGTGTATTGTGAATTGAACTTTTTCTGATTTTCCTTCTCTATTTGTTTATTGTTGTATATAATATATTTTTGTGTATATTTTGGATATTACAGGGGAAGGGAAAAAAAAACAAATTGTTTAAATGGGGATACAGGTGGATCCATTTTAACAATGAGATATTCAAAAAAGTTTCTTATAGCAAAATCCCTTCTCTCTTTTCTTTACACCGAGACAAAGTGACAATTTTATTTTTCATTGCTTTTTGGCAATGGATCCCTTTTAATTATGGGCAGATTTTTAAAATCCGGTATGAGAGTAAGCTATTGCAAGAAAAAAAAAAAACTTTTATTTAGATCACTGGACACTCAGTGACCCTTCACCTTAATCCTCTTTGTGTTGACTCATTCTGTCATTGGTAAACTCAAACCAGTTTTGCAACAACTACTAAAAGTTGAACCAGATATTTGAGCAATCTGTCACTTAATTTTTTCCAACTTTTTCAACCTTTCAATTTCCATCGTAAAATATTTACATAAAAATTGTGATGAATATGATTATCCTGCAGAATATAAAGATAGTTTAAAAGTCAAAAAGAGGAAAGGAATTTAAATTATGCCAAGAAAGCAGTTGACAAAGCCCAGGAAACAAAGTAATCTCAGAAATACCCAATTTAATTATGGCTCAGCAAGAAAGTAAAGCAATATTAAATACTTGCTATCAGAGGACTTAGTTTTCTAATTTAAGAAAGAGTGCTGGATACATGGAAAATATTTTCACATCAGAATTCTCATTTCAATAGAAAGGAAGTGAGATTTGAAGATCAAATGAAGAATTAGATGACAAAAAAACAGTATGTCACTCAGGATGAGGACAACATCCCTTGGCAAGAAAATTTCTCCTGATGTTCCCCAGACTGCATGGCGTCTTTTCTCCATTGATAAGTCTACTACACTCCTCTCTAGCCTGGTTCTTAACCTCTCCTGAATTTTTAACATCCCATAGGACTCTTCTTGGCATTTGGCTTCTATTGCTTCTATTTCCCTTGAGGGGTGACGGGAAAGTTAGGTCACAAGACGTCTTTGGGTACACAACAATTATGACTTCCAAAGAGCAAGGTAATCCATTCAGGCATAGTTAAAAGTGACAAAAAATTTATTTACACTATTTACGACAGAAAGGGGGCCTGCAACTACCTTGTCCTGGGCTAAACACCCAGAACCAAGAGCAGCCTCGACCACCAAACCTCCAAGTCTCCAATGGGCAGTTTATTAGTTGGTCTGCAAACCACCAATCAGTGGTCTGCAAACCTCCAAACCTCAGACCTCCAAAGCTCCAAAGCTCCAAAACTCCAAAGCTCCAAAGGGGAAGGCTTTTCCTTTGCTTCCCTTCCTCCTTCTCTGTAGTCCTCTCCCCTCTCCACAGGCCCTGCTCTGCTCTGGGAGGTGCCTCTAAACAGTCCTCTCTTGAGGAAGGTCCCAAATGGCCTCTCGAGGAGGCTTGCCCTGCTCTACTCCTGCAGGCTTTCTCCTCCTGCTGTCTCTCTGTTCTCTACTTCACTCTCAGTCTCTCTACTTCTTAATTGCTCTCCCTTCTACTCTCCTCAGGACTAACGGTTTTCCTCCCTAACAGTTTTCCAACTGCCATTCATGCTCCTCTTCTAAGCCGTTCACTGTCCAATCACCTCTTGACAGCTCACCATGTGGGGCTCTATGCCACACACACTTCAGTAACACCCCTCCCACCTTTCGGTAGGTATCATTCACCACCCCTTTGGCGACATGGCATGCCCCTCCAGTGGCCAGCCTGGTGGGGCAGCCTCTAGATGCTATCCCCACCCCCCTCCAGCAGGCCAGGCCATGGGGCCGCGTGAGTTATTACCCAACCTGAGCTTAGGTATTGAAATTAGAAGTGAGGATCTATGTAGAGAATAAACATCCGCATGCTTCTGGGGTTTCAATGTCCTTGAGTAGCCAGTTTGCAGCACAGGCACATATTTTATTTTTGGTGAGTCTGCACGAGATACCAAACAGATATTCCCCAGAGTGGAGTCTGTGGCCTCTAGTTGGGCACCTCCTCTTAGAGGGCCCGTGTTGACCAACTGAAGAAGATACCCGCCTGAGATCTGGGATAGCCCATGTCCTGTGCCATAAACCCCTCCTAGATAAGGTTGGGTAGCGAAGTCCACGAATATATTTACTGAGAATGTTATGCATTACATCTAATCCTCTGCTAATGATCGGCAAAATTGAGAAGCTGCCAGAGCTATCCCTCTTTCCTTCTCTGGTAAGGATTCACTGCCCAACATGGCCCTTTGTAACATCACCTGGCACATGCCACTGAGGAGGTGCTCATGTGGTTGTGGGCACTGTGGCAAGTTCAGGTCAAAACACGACCAGCAGGCCAAAGGCTATCCACTCGATTTCTAACTCTTGGGATCTTCCTCGCTGTCCCTACCAGGTGTTGGCAGAAGAAGGGCAACTATCTGGTCCTGTCTTTGGCCAATGATTAGACTATTCCTGCAGCACAGGATTGGGTGAACCCTCTCCAAGGAAACCCTGATGGTACCTACTTCTGTATAGTTTCTGCTTCTGAACAAAGGAACAAGGATTGGTGCTATAGCTGATGGAGGCTACAATCGGAACATGACTTCCTGTCAGGTAAGTTCGGCTTACTTCCTTTTATTCATTTAGTACAGCAACATTTAAATCCCCTCAAACGGGGAGACATGAAGGGACACAACTACTCATAATCAACCAATGGCATCTCTTTCATTTCCTTTTAAGGAGCCTGGCTCTGGGAATTAAATAACTAGGCAGACAACTAACTTCATCATGACTTCTACATAAATTATGGAATAAATAACTTTGAAGAACAGAAGCATAACAGAATCATCTTTGTCTTTTAAGGGGTTTCAGTATCTATTACTCTGGCAGGTGCAATTTTGCCTGTAAGTACTTACAAAATGAAAATTTGTAAAGAGGTTGACAGAAACTACAATGTAATTTGTACAAGGAAGATATGGTTTGATATTTAACAATAGTTGCCAGTTGAGGACTGGTGTATAGATCAGGGAGAAACAGAAATAGAAAAATCAGAGATGAGAGAAACGGGAGCATGAGGGCCATGGAATAGGAAAAACAAACAAACAAAAAGTTCACCATAGTTTCTTTTGAAACAAAAAAGGTCTACTTTGTAGGTCACTGGAATAAACAAGACATAGTCTATTGACCTCAACTAGGAACTGGCTAATGAGCAGGTCTTCCACTAGACAGGCAGAACTAGCTTAGCGATTTTCCTTTAGATTATAACTATCTGTCTTTGGAATCAACAGTCAATATTTCAAACTCCTGGACTGTTTTTATTTGCCTGCCTGGAGCTCTGGATGTAGTCAGTAATAAATCTGTAACCAAGATTTCTGAATTCCAAAGGAAACACCTCCATCATTGCTTGATCATCCTCCTTTGAAAACTAGCCTGTTTGGGATATCATTCAAATTAGAGTTGTTATTTTGCAAAAACGGCTCTTTTTTTTTTTTTTTTTTTACCAGTTCAAAACTTTGGCAGTAAGGTGACATGAAATCTGGAAAGATAAATGAACCGAGAGGTTTTGATGAAGGTGAGTTTTGTAATGACTTCCCTCCATTTCACCAGCAGACGGGATTGTCAATGCCAGTGGGCCTTTCATAAGTGTCTCCTTTCCATGCATTAGTAACTTCCACTTGATTGCAGCCCAAACACTTAGAACTGACAGCATGTAGATCTCAAATCTTAAAAGATGTTTTTTTAGAGCTAGAGAGGGTATATAGTTGTGGACCTCTCTGAAGCTCATCTTTTTTCTTTTTCTTTTGCATCCTTCTTCTTGTGCTCTAAGTTCATTTTTTGGTTTATAAATCTAAATTTCAATAATTTTTGTTTTCATCTATTTTATATAATTGTTTATTCTTGTTCTCCTTTTCACAACACTCAACTCTCCCAGAGCTATGAATTTACTGATTTTTTTTCCTCCCCAAATGTTTGAGAGAAAAAAGTCCACCATTTTGACCACTCTTACTTATATTTTAAAAAATACTAGGGCTTAATCTCAGGACCTTTTAATGCTTGGAGTACTGTTCGTTTATCCAAGTTTTTAATAGAGCTGATTTTTGACTGTAATCATCTTACTTATGTCTCAGGAGTAGCTTGGATTACAAGTGAAACTCACTATGCTCTTTTTTGTTGAGATGGCATCTCACTTACTTTTGGCAGGCTGGATCTCTAATCATGCCTACCCTTCTACTTTTAATATAAACAATGTCCATGTATTATTTCCTTTGGTTAACTGCCTAAGAATTTTCACTGGGTTATATGATTATTATACATTTCTTTTAATCTAAATTGCCAAGCTGTTTTCCAAAATGTATGAATATTTTACGTTATCACCAGAAATTCATTAGTTTCTTTTGTTTTACTAAATATATGTATATCAAGGGGTTTCAATTCACCATGTCAATCTGTGTGTGCAATGTGTCAGTGTTACTCCTTTATTATACATATATGTTTCTATTGCATTGTTGATACTAGTATGTTTTTTCAAGTTAATAGCATATATTTTCACTTAATGTATCTTTTAGGTAGTATAAGTTTCAATCATGATTTAGCTGTTTATCAATCAAATTTTTTAATATTTTATTTTCTTTGATTTTTTGCCTAACAGCCAAAAATCATTTCTCCAATGTTCTATTATAAAATAGCTCACTATTTAGAGCCATGTCAACTTCAAATTATTCTTGTCTCAGAGTATTCAGATACTGAGAAAGTGAGGAATTTATTTAGTTATAATTACAATTATAATTATAATAATTTATAGTATTGGTGTATATATGTGTATGATTATACTGGCATTGCAACTTCAACTCAGGGCTTCACACTTGCTTGGCTTCCTTTCTCACATCTCTATGCCATGCCTCCAGCCTGGAACTTCAATGGTTAATTGGAGATAGTGGCCTACAGATTTCATTACTTCAGCTGTCTTTGAATAGATATTTTAGGTCTTCCTAAGGAGCTCATATTACAAGCATAAGCCACTGGCACCAGGTTGAAAAGTATATTCTTTATCAGTATACTATTTTGGAAAATCAGTTACTAAAAATGTGTAAATTTCTCTGACCATCAAGTCTGTTCTATTATCCACTTGTCTAGTATTAGATAAAAACTAGGCTAAATTTATTATTGTAGCTTTCTATTAAATGATAAAGATAGATAAAATGAACAGCAAACTAGTTCTCCTAAATAATTGCTTTTGGGATCTTTATAATTTTGTGTACATTTAATTCAATTTTTTCTTCAAAAATTGTGCAGGAAGCTGGGCATCAGTGACATATGTCTGTAAACGCAGTTACTCATGAAACTGAGATCTGAAAATCAAGTTCAAAGCCATCTGGACAGGAAAGTCTGTGAGACTCTTATCTTTAAGCACTAAGAAGCCAGAAGGAGCTATGACTGTAGTGGTAGAGCACTAACTTTGAACAAAAAAGATCAGGGTCAGTGCCCAGACACTAATTTCAAACCACAAGAGTGGAAAAAATCTGCTGGTATAATCATTCAGATGATGTGCAATTATGAGATGATTTTTATCTTAACAATATTGCTTATGTCTATAATCATAATGGACTCCATTACAATAAGTACTACACTAGAATAAATATTTCTTATATTTATTCTTTTTGTCCTAGGAACTAGTGGTGGGATAAAAAAACAATATGAAAGTTACACATAAACTTAAAACTATCTCACCAAGGAATGATGCTTTTCACACAGCATGGGAAGATTCCTTGAGGGATAGGATATGTACTAAAAGGTAGCCAAAATTTATTACTAAAAATTGGCTCTACACAGACACATCCTGGATAGTAATATGTTAGTAGCTAGTAAAGGAATCTATTCATAATGAAAGTTATTATTCATAATGAAAGTTACCATTAGGGCTAATTCCATTCATATTATTAATACCCTAAAGTTAATTCTTTACACCTATGTCACTTAATACTAGCCCACATTAAAGTTCTCCTTTCCTATAACTACATAGATAAATCCACACAAAATACAGCTTTTGACACATCATAATCCTGCCTACAATTTTACAATAAGATTTTGTTTTCTTTTATGACAAAAATATTTTAGAATATTATTTTTACTTTTCTACATCTCTAGCTAATATCTGATCTCACCACAAGTAAGCATATACAGCATAGAATGAGTTTGCTTTTATCCATGATCCCTGAAAACTAGTTTTATAATAATTTTGTTTTAAAATTTTTATTGTCAAGGTGATATACAGGGGTTACAGTTACAAATGTAGTGAGTACATTTCTTGTCAAACTTGTTACCCCCTCCCTTTTTCTCACATTTTCCCTCCTCCTCCAATCCGCACTCCCCCAAGTAGTATAGATCATTTCCAACATATTCTCTTGTGAGTATCGCTGTTTTACAACAGTTTTGATTGGTTCTATTTTAACCAATGCTTTATTTATGGATGTTCAATATCTCCAAAGAACTCTAATTGAAGTACAGCCAAAACTTTGGATTTTATCCTGCATTGCTTTCACTTACAGTAACAAGTGACCAAGACCACTCTTTTTATTTTGTACTTTGTATTTTGTTGTACTTAGTATTATCTACCATCTTTTGAAATAAAGACTTCTCCAACTTCCATTTTCTCAATTACTTTTGTCCGGATTAAAAAAAAGAATTAATGTAAATTCTCTTAAGATTCTTGAAAAATCTTCTCTTAGTGAGCTTACTACTACATTGTTCTTGTTTAATAAATCCCATTGCAAAATTATTTCTTGCTCAATTCCCAAATCCCTAAACATCCACTTCATCTATGGATGCTCAATAAGTAATGAATTGGGTAGGTTATTTAAAATGTGCTTAAGAATACTGTCTATGATCTTTGTCAGAAGCTACTTAATACTAAATAATCTGAAGTCCTGATTCTGTCAATAGACCTGGTAAGCAAAGGTGAATTACAAATAATTTAGTGGATGACATCACTCATTTGACCATTCCACTCTCATTTCTAACTTTTATCCCATGAAGCTGAGATAACAGTGCCATATGTTGGAATATTGTGTGGGAGAAGTCAAAGAGAAATGAGACAAAGGAGTTTGATATTTCTAGTTCTTTCCATGAAGTCTTTTAGGAGACAGGGTAGACTTTGAAACTGTAGAATTTCAAATATTATAAAAGGGAAGAGTATGATATTTCAGTAAAGGCAAAATGACAACCCAAAGAAATGAAATTCTTTGTAGTAAACTTGACATTCAATCTTGTGTGTTTTAAGAATTCTTTCTGAGTTTCAAATTTTTATCTGAAAACGTGTTAACAGTTCTCTGGAAATTTATAACTGTCCTATGAGTGTATTTAAAGCCTCAAAACAATGTTCTTAAAAAGATGTTGTGATATAGTTATATATATATATATTTTTTTTTTTTTTCAGTAAGAGTATCTTCATGTATAAATTCCAAATGATTATATGTGTGTTTGTGTGTGTGGCATCTCTGAAGGTGTTTAATACATTATCAGTATAAATGCTTATTAAATGTTAGCCATTATCATTTCGATTATAAAAATGAGTTCATGGATGAATATAAAAGTACTATAAAGATATGTATAATATTATTTCCATTTGCTGGTTATTGAGAATCACAAGGATATTTCCAGGCAAGGAATTTTAGAGCATTACTTACCTCTACTTTTGGGAGTTTGAAGGGGAAGTCCATCTTGGAATACATAGTAAGATTTTGTCTCAAAAATTTTTTTCAATCCATATGATTACATGTTTTACAGAATGATTTATCCCTACTATTACATAATTTCCTTTTAAGCCAATAGAAGCATAAAATAGAATTGTAAATTTTCAAAGAGGAGAAAGTCTTTGAAAGTAGACAGTCAGTAATAGAACTTTTACTTCAATTAAATAATGCTTCCTTTTATTATTTTCTTTGTTAATACAGACTTCTTTCTACCTATGAGCCAAGACTTTGGTCATGGCCAATGTGTCTTCTGTGTCTGACTTTGTTTTTCTGGGGCTCTCTAATTCCTGGGAGCTACAGATGTTTTTCTTTATGGTGTTTTCACTGTTTTATGTGGCAACAGTGGTGGGTAATAGCCTCATAATCTTCACAGTTGCTGCTGACTCTCACCTGCACTCTCCTATGTATTTCTTGCTTACCAACCTTTTTACTATTGATGTGTCCCTTGCTTCCTTTGCCACTCCCAAGATGATTACAGACTACCTAACTAGTCATAAAACTATCTCTTTTAATGGCTGTATTACACAGATATTTTTTGCATCTTTTCACTGGTACTGAGATTATTTTACTAATGGTTATGTCTTTTGATAGATCTATTGTAATCTGTAGGCCCTTGCATTATGCTTCAATCATTAGTCCCCAGGTATGTATTGCCCGTGTGGTAGCTTCCTGGGTGGTGGGAATCATCCATTCAATGAGCCAGGTTATATTTGCTCTCACATTACTATTCTGTGGCCCCAACAAGGTAGACAGCTTTTTCTGTGACCTTCCTGTGGTGTTACAGCTGGCTTGTGTGGATACTTACATTCAAGGCTTCTTTATGATCTCAGCAAGTAGCATTATTGCTTTGTCCTGTTTTATTCTTTTATTTAATTAATATGTGATTGTCCTGGTTACTATCAAGAATCATTCCTCCAGAGGTTCATCTAAAGCCCTTTCGATCTGTACAGCTCATTTCATCGATGTCTTCATATTCTTTGGGCCATGCATTCTCATCTACATGTGGCCACAAAGCAGCTTTGTGACAGAGAAGAACTTGTCTGTGTTTTATACCATCTTTACACCCATTATGAACCCAGTTATCTATACTTTGCGAAATCAAGATGTAAAAACTGCCATGATGAAGTTCAAAAATAAGTTTCTAAATTCCAATAAGCCCACATCTTCTCAAGTTTCTCAGTTCTAACATCATAAGTGTAAAGTACTATTATTTTGTGACATACAGCCTTAAGTACAATGCCAGAACCATCTTGATTACAATACTGTCCTAGGCTCTTGCTTTCAAACTTCATATCAAATTGCAATTTCAAAAACTTGTATGTCCATAAGGTCAGTGTATTTACAAACTCTTCATACAAACTCTCTTCATACATGTGTCCAAAATATGTTTGAAATTTCAGGAAAGCAGTGTAATGGAAATAATGTTTCCAAGAAAAAATTTATAAAATATCAGGAATAACTAGTTAGGACATTCAGTATCAATTATAAACTCATTAAAAATGAATTAATGATGAGTATGCATTGATTATTAGCAATGAAGCTGAAATAATAAAGAAGACAAAGTACACATTAAAGGAGAACTGGGAGAAAAATTGTAATTACAAGTAAACAGTTGGCAAGTTATACAGAGGTTTCCCTTTTAAGCATTTCAAAATAGCAGGATTTCTATAATCCTTAGGATTCCAAACTACTTCAGAAAATCAGCTTTTGCCAAAAGAGGAATGTATAATTTTCTATGTATATCTGAGAACCATTCTTCTTTAACATTCAAATCAATTGGTGCTCACTATTATTAAGGAAAAATCTGAATACATTTAATTGCAAATATTGATGAAATGAAATAAAAATGATGTAAAAGTTTAGCTAACAAAAATGGTCATATTGCTTTAATCTGTATTCTGGTAATAATGCACAGTGTACAAGACAAGTGGGAGAATTCTGCAAGGCAGAAAATATGAAATGAGTGGCAAAGCAGTATGCTTTGTTTCAGAGAGGAGCCATAGAAACTTAATTCATGAGATTATGAAACTTGGAATTAGTATATGTTTTATTTTAAAAGATTTACATTGTTTTGTATTTTAAAGAAGATTTTTTAACGTTTGGATAAAATAAGTTTATTAATATACTGTCATTGTGTGCATGGTTTTGTATACAATAAATTTTGTTAAATATTAGCCTTAAAATCCATAAGGCATCACTACCAGCTGCTAGTAATCACACAACTTGCAAGTATTTAAAATCATGAGAAATGCTGTAATTTTTGTAATTCACAAATCATCTTTGCAAAATGGTGATAAAGATTAAGCAATTCATACTTATTTAAAGTCTTCTAGGTGCTACTGGCTCACTCTTGCAATCCTAGTTACTCAGGAGGCTGAAATATGAGGACTGTGTTTAGAAGTCAGTCCTGGTAGGAAAAGTCCTAGGGACACTTAAGTCCAGTTAACTACCAAAAAGGCTGAAAGTGGCAGAGCACTAGCCTTGAGCACAAAAGCTCACAGAGAGCACCCACGCCCTTAGTTCAATCCCCAGATTGGCACACAAAAGTTTTAGAATATTTATGAAAATGTTTTCAAACATATCCAAATTGTATTTACAAAAGGAAAGAGGTTACAATGGCATAAAAATTTGATAAATAGAGTTGGGAAGATGGCTCAGTGGTAAGAGTGCTTGCCTTGCATGATGAGGCCCTGGGTTCAATACCTCTACACCACATAAGCAGAAAAAGTCAGAAGTGGTGCTGTGGCTCAAGTGGCAGAGCCCTAGCCTTGAGCTGAAGAGCTGAGGGACAGTGCCTAGATCCAGAGTTCAGTCCCCATGACTGACGGGAAAAAAATTGATACATATCCATTTACGAGAGAAAAATTAAGCAAAAGGAAAGTATAAATTATAATTGTAAGTCAAATCATAAAATGAAGGGGTTGTTTTCATCTCCTGTTTTTCATTATGGTATTGCAAGGAAAAAAATTAGTTTGTGTGTAATTCCATGTATGTGATATTGTGTTTAAGCTACAATTTTGAAATCAGTGGATGAAAATATCTACAGTATTAATATGGGCACACAACATATGTAGATCATAGAAAATTACATAAATTTATATAAATGACAATACAAATTGATCAATTTAGGTAGTATGAGTGAATGTTTTCATTGTTGCAGTTCCATGAAGGAACATTTTTAGGGTTAAGAACTTCATTTGTGCAAATGATGTTCAGCTGATGTCTTAAGGACCTCATATATTTCTTTTATGTAGTATTTACTTGTTCAGGGAATATTTTAGGAAATGATTTTCTTGCTAAATATTAGCTGTGAAATGCTTCGCAGCATCTATATTTATTTAGTTATTTATTTCCAAGTCCTGGGGCTTGACCTTGGGACCTGGGCTCTGTCCCTGAGTTTCTTATGCTCAAGGTTAGATCTCTACCTCTTGAGCCACAGTTCTACTTCTGGCTTTTTAAAAAGTAATTTATATGGACTTTTCTGCCAAGGCTGTCTTCAAATCATGATTCTTAGCTCTCAGCCTCCTGCATGACTGAGATTACAGGTATGAACCACCAGCACTAGGATATCATCTGTACTTTTATGGAGAATTCTTAAACTCATGAAAAATGGCCAAAATCATCAAAGAGCACACAGTTCTATAATGCAACTTGACATTGAAACTGAGTAGTTGAATTGACAGTAAGACTTTCTATCTGAGAATTAAAAGTGCTATAGACAGCCTCTGGAAATTCTCATACATACAGAGAATTACTAATACTTTCTCTCATGGCTCATCCCAAGGATCATAATTCCAGATATGTGTTATACAAACATTTAAAATTTTAAATATAGTCCCTCCCCCACAGTATAATCCCTGCTTTCACTGTATTTGATGTCAGTATAATTTGTGGAGGGGAAGGGGAAAAACAGATCATTTAAATAGGGATACAGGTGGACCTACTGCAACAATGAGATGTACAAGTCGTTATGTCAAAAACAAACTTTATATTTGGTATCTTTAAATATTATATTTCCTTGAGAAGCTGTTGATACTCTTTTTCCAGTGATAAGGCAAGTAAGATAACCATGGTCGTCTCCTTTATCAGTAATAAGAATGGCACCATGTATCACAGGTGTGCCCACAGGCAGAAATGATGTTTTGCAAAACATGCTACCTGAGCAGAAATCAAGTAACAGAAACTTGTCAATCCAAGAACAATTTTAAAGGTTTGTACTATTTTGAAATTGTCCCCACCAATAATGGAATGTGAACACATATCAGGATGTGGTTAGTTTCATCTTCTATGTATTTGAAGGGCAATGAAGCTTAACAACACTAAACCTGTACATTTTTCAGTGCAAAAGTCCAGTTGTAAGAAGACTTGTAAAATAAAACAGCATAACTGAATGCAGGTAGAAAAACCAATTAAACCTGACAACATAAATTATAATTTTTAGGAAATTAAATATATGTAGGCCAGTAAAATATTATTTATGTTTGCTTCTAAAAATATTCCAGGACTAATTCAATGATGATGACTTTTCCATGAGGCCAGGAAAGCTTAAGCTTTACACCTTTTTCTTACATGGGTTTCTTCTAAGATCCTGCAATAGGTCCAACACCATCTTATTAATAATTTTGATTATTTTCTACAATTATATTTTATAATTTTATACTTTATATTTGTATTTTATAACAATTTTGATCATTTTCTTGAATAGATCCCCTAGACTCATGTAAGCTTTAGGGTCTATAAGACCTGAGTGTGGAGATTAAGTCTAAGACTTGGTTGTCTTTTTGCAAGTACTTAATTCCAGTTCTCTTATTACTGATATAAAATTACAATATAAAATTGAACAAAAATTTTAAGATAATTTAGTCTCAAGTTTCTGCACCTATAAAGGAGATAATAATGGTGCTAAAACCACAGATTTATTTTAGGAGTAAAGGAAAGAAATTATAGAAAATGCCCTGTTGTATTATTAGTTATGCTATTCTAGGTAGTCAGGTACCACGTGAATTTTGTTGCTTTGTATGTCCCTCCCCTGTTTTTACTGTATTTGAGGTTGGTATAATTTGTGGAGGGGAAGGGAAAAAACAAATTGTTTAACTAGGGATATAGGTAGACCTATTGCGACAATGAGATTTACAAGATGTTATGTTGAAAAACGAACTTTACAACTTTGCGGGGGGTGAAAGGGGGGCAGATGGGAAGGGATGGTAAGGGGAAACAAAGGAGGAGGCAACAATACTTGATAAGAAATGCACTCATTACCTTGCCCATGTAATTGTATCCCCTCTGTATGGTATTTTCACAATAAAAATAGAAGTGAACATTAGGATCTGGATCCCATAATGATATTACTCCAGTGCTATAGTTTGAAAGTTTATGTCTTATTCACAAATTGGAATCTTCACTCATAAATGGATTAAATTAAGCTGTGTTTGAAAGTTCATGAAAGTGTTATTTCCAATATTTTAATTAGTGATTTTTTTTAAAAGACTCCAAATAGCTCAGTTGGCTCTTCTGTCACATGTGTTAGAGTGAAAAGACAGTCCTCAGACACAAAATCTGCCAATAACTATATCTTAAACATTCCAGCTTTCAGGACTATGAATAAAAATAGAACTAGAACACAAACCATGTTAAATGAGATAAGTCAAACTCAGAGACACAAATGGTGCATGTTCTTTCTGATATAAAGTAAGTAGATCTAAGCAGGGGTATGATAATTGTACAAGATTCTTGACACTCACACACAGATTTTGTGTGATAGTTTCAAAGGAGACTCTTAGGACAGAAACAGAAAGGTACAATGCCTAAATGCCTCTTCATTTTGTATAAAATAATATACATACTGAAACAAGCTACAAGATACAGAAAAAGAAAACTCTTTTCTCTTTTTTTCTTTTTCTCTTAGTTTTTAATTTTTGATGACTCTGTCTTCCTTACCTTATTATGGTCTATTCAAGAGTACATCTTTGGCAGGGTTGGGGGAAGGGTACAGAACTCAAGGGAACAGGGTGAAAAAGTGCAACAGCGGAACTACTGGACACTGATGATAGTGAACTATACAAGTCTTGGGTGGAGACAGGAGGGAAGGATTGGGAGAGAATGCGTGAACAGAAGATACTATACAAAAGGAAATGTATTCATTAGCTGACTCACATAAGTGTAATCCCTCTGTACATTACCTCTATG